CCGCTGCTTCCTCACCGGCCTCCCGGCCTGGCCCGCCTCCTGACCCCAGTCCCGTCCAGCCCCTAGCAGACGCTCCTGTCGGCCCGGCCCTGCCCCCCACAGCCAGCCTCTCCCTGCACCCCAGCTCAGACACCTGTCCCCAGCCACCTGCCTCACCTGTGCTTGGTAGAGAAAGCCTGGGAGGAAATGCACAAATGTCAGTGCAGGTCCTCAGCGACTCGAGGGAACGCTTCCTCCCTCACCCTTCTCTGCAGTGCTAAGGCTTTCTCCAGTGAGTACGGATTATACACCCGAAGAATATTTATTGAGGATATAAGTGCATGAAATAAAACATACAATATAAAATTAAGTGCACATATTTTTAGAAGGTAGATGCTTTGGTGACCTCCTGTCACTTTCACGATGAGGTTCCAATGCCCTTTTGCCCTGAGACCAGTCTTGGTCCCCCACCCAGAGCCAGGAGCAGGCTGTGAACTGAAGCTTTCCCTCGTCCCACTCCGTTCCCGTCCCCACATTATTTCCCCAACTGTAATTTTCTCAGTCAAGGGACCCCTAGATTCTCCCATAGACCAGTGAGCCTTTCTTGTTCCTCTTGGCCTCTGCCCCAGGCCCTTTGCATCACAAACACAAGGACCTATGCACTGAGAACTCAAGCCGGAATCCAGGGAAAGAGCTTCTGGTTGAGATCTATACTGCATGAGTTAAAAATAAAAACAAGTGACACTGCCAGACAGCGACTGAGCAGAGCACCATGAAAAGATGTGGTGGGTGTCCGGCTTCCTGACCACTCTGGATGAGCAAACCTGATAATTCAAGCCTAAAAATTCCCTTTGCCACAGCCATCACAGCTGATTGGGCGCTCTGCCAGCTCAGCCGTGAACTCTGCCCTGCAGGAGACAGCTGTGGAAAGGAGAGCGACACTTTTATTGATTTAGGACTTACAGGTGGCCCGCTTCCAAAGACGGTTTGAGAGAGTCTCCACAAAAACCTTAAAATTTAAACATAAAGAGTGGGAGGGCTAAAAATAAAATTGAAATAAGATGTTCTTTGGAAGAGAAGTTAGGTCCGCGGGGTGGGGCCCTCACTCCAGTGTCAGGTCAGAGAAATGCAGGGGACCTGAGCCCTCTGGGGAGAATCCCATCCCAGGTCGGCGGGACCCGTGGGTGTTCTCAGCATGCAGAGACTTCCGTGCTGGATCTGAGAAAGTCCCTGGCCAATGGAGTCAAGATGGCCACTCGGGCTTCTGTGACACCCTTGGAGTGGCTGAATCCAACCGGAAGCATCCCCTGCCAGGCCCTCTGGGGCACATTGCAATCAGGACCTTTGGTTGCTTTTTTCCCACAGAAAATTGTCCTTTGTTATTTTATATTTATTTATTTTTGGTACCAGGGATCGAACTCAGGAGCTTGAGCTTGTGTGGCAGGTGGTGGCACCACTGAGCTACATCCCTGGTCCTATTGTTATCTTTTGATTTGATTCTTACACGTATAGCAGCAAATCAAAAGTCTCTAATACACGACTGGGGATACAGTGTACCTGTGATCCACTTCCTGTATCCAGCCGGGATACAAACTCTTTGAAATTGATGATACTGGGCCCTCGCCGGCCCCTTCCGTATGAACACCTGCACCTCCCGAAGGAAGCCTCCTTTTCTCCTCATTGTTCTAGCTCTTCCTTCTGAAATATACCTCTGCTCTGAGATGTGATTATATCGCTTTTCTTCATTCCTTATTTTAGACATTACCCACCGCTGTTGGTCGAAATGATCGTGCCCACCCCCATTCCTATGCTGAAATCTTAGTCTGCAGGGTGATGGGAGAGAGGCTCAGGCGAGAGCCCTGCCCCCAGCCACCAGTAAAAAGGCTCCACGTATGAACCAGAAAACAGCTCCACCAGACACTGAGTGTGCTGGCCCCATGGGGTGCTTGCCCCTCCCACCTCCACACCCGGAAGAAATAAATCTCTCCTTTTTGTAAGGTACCCAGTGTCCTGCATCTTTTCGCAGCTTCCTGAATGGACTAAGGTATTCAGCGACCTCACATATGGAAAACGAGGACTGAACACCTCACACCTCCTCCATCCACAGACAACATTCATAATTTTGGTGCATTGTTAGCGTGTACACAGTCAGGGCTGGGTGATGATCATTTGCCTCCACACTATGCGGCATACTATGGCCTTGTGTACTTTTCTCCACAACCTTTTGTTTTTCCTGGAGTTTATAATTGCCTTTGGAAAACAATCTTGTTTTCCTTGATACGGACCCGTGGCCCGTCTTAGCTCTCCAAAAGAACTCCGCAAAAACACATGAAGTCATCCACTGCATGTGCGTCCGTGTGCGTGTGTGTGCGTGTGTTGGGGGTAGAGTGTGGTTCCTCCCAGGGCTCCCAGGCCCCCCACTCTGCTCCAGAACCTGCTGTACCTTCCCTTCTGGGGCGGCACAGTTGCAGGCACTGTGCCCTCCTGTCCTGGGTGCCTGTGGAGCGAATTCCCCAGTAGACAGACATGAGGCACAGGGGAGTAACTTCCCACAACGCTGAGATTCTGAGCCCCGGTCCTCTCTCCTCACACCGTGTCAGACCCATTCAGTTGTGAAAATGCACTTCCTGGCTCCTCACCAACGTTCAGAACTTGTCTGACTTCGGTCCATTGTCCTGTGAACCTTCTTCTTTCTCTTGGGGAACATGGTGCTTCTTTGTCTCTGGTTTTCTGAAAAATTTAATGCCAGAGGAATTCCTCCTTCTTTTCTGCTTTTCTCTCTCTCCAATTCTCTTCCCTCCAGTTTTCCATCTCCAGGTCTTCCCTTCTGTCTTCTGCCTCTTCTGTTTCTCACGAGCGTGTTCTTGCTGCTTGCAAGGATCCCCCTCCTTCCTGGAAGACAGGTTTTCCTCCTTGCTCACCAATTCTGTCTCAGTTCTGTGAGGATATGAGCCCTGTTTTACACTTTCCCTTCAGTGTATCTCCTCTCCCCGCTTGTGGTCGCTTCCCTTGCCTTCCCTTGGCTTCCATTCTTTGGCTTCCGGGTCTCTAGGATGGGAAGCTTCAGCGTCCTGCTGTCCTGCTTGCTGTCCCAGTTGCTCTGCTGACCCATCTCCGGTCCTCTCTGGACAGCGTGGGCCGGGCTCCTGCTTCCGGGGAGGGCTGGACTGGGGAGCCCAGTATCCTGGGCCTTAGCTATCTTTCCCACCGGGCTCTTAGTTTGCCCACCTTTGTCCGTTGGTGTCTCCCCTCTTGCCCCCATTGTCCTTGAGGTTTACACTCTCATTCGACCATTCATGTGTTACCTCTGAAGACTGCTCTCTGAACACAGCAAAGAAAACGCATTTACTCAGCTCTCTGGGGTCACAAGCATAGGTGACCCAGTGTCACCTTTTCTGATGGTTTGCTCAGGACTTGCTGATTTTAACTGAAAGTCCCAGCCCGGGATGGTGGTACACACCTGTAATCCCAACCGTTTAGGAGGCTCGGGCAGGAAGATGGAAACTTTGAGGTCAGCCAGGGCAATTTAGGGAGGCCCTGTCTCAAAACTTCTAAAAAGGGCCAGGGATGTAGCTCAGTGATAAAGCGCTCGCCCAGCGTGCGTGGGGGCCTGGGTTCAACCTCCCGCCCTGCAAACATCAAAACCGGAAGTCCTGCATCCTGGATCCGCCCCCCACTCCCCCGTCGGGGCGGAACCCCTCCAGCTGTCCTCCCTTCGCTCCATGGACTTTCTGCAGCTCCTGCAGAGCCCCCGGGAGACCCCGTTCACCCAGGAAACAAGCAGCCTCGCAGCCTCCGGGAACCCTGCAGACGGGATCGCTCCTGGCAGACGCTCTCGAGTGTCTGGAAAAGTCCCTGTATTTCTGGAAACCCCAAAGATAAACGGCGGGCACGACTATCATTACCGAAATTGCTGGCTGCGGCACAGACATGCAAGCCCGATGGCGTCCTGGCCCAGCCCGCTCCCGCACAGCTTCTGTAATTATAAGACAGCCTTTTAAATCGTTCCAGTCCGAACAAGACCTGGAAGGCCAGAGAGCGGGCTGGCTGTGGGGGGCTGGAGGTGAACAGGGGCTGCTGGGGCAGGGCGGGCCCTGGGGGCGTTCTCAGCACCTCTGCCAAAGAGGCAGGGATGGTTGGGGGCACCAGCAGTCTGCCCCACGGGCCTGGG